CCTCCTCCTCCTGCTCCCCCTCTTCTTTCTTCTTCTTCTTCTTCTTCTTCTTCTTCCTGCTTCCTTGATCATTTTAGTTGCCCTCTTTTTCTGGACACATTCCAGCTTGTCAATATCTCTCTTGAATTGTGGTGCCCAGAATTGGACACAATATTCCAGGTGTGGTCTAACCAAAGCGTAATAGAGCATGGGGAGCATGACTTCCCTAGATCTAGACACTATGCTCCTATTGATGCAGGCCAAAATCCCATTGGCTTTTTTTGCCGCCACATCACATTGTTGGCTCATGTTTAACTTGTTGTCCACGAGGACTCCAAGATCTTTTTCACACGTACTGCTCTCGAGCCAGGCCTCATCGTCCCCCATTCTGTATCTTTGCATTTCGTTTTTCTGCCTAAGTGGAGTATCTTCCATTTGTCCCTGTTGAACTTCATTGTGTTAGTTTTGGCCCATCATCTTTCTAATCTGTCAAGATCGTTTTGAATTCTGCTCCTGTCCTCTGGAGTATTGGCTATCCCTCCCAATTTGGTGTCATCTGCAAACTTGATGATCCTGCCTTCTAACCCTTCATCTCAGTCATTAATAAAGATCCTGAGCAGGACCGGGCCCAGGACGGAACCCTGCTGATGGCACTCCACTTGTCACATCAACAGTTTAGACCAGTGTTTCTCAACCTGGAGTTCGGGACCCTTGAGCGGGTCATGAAGGGGTGTCAAAGGGGTCACCAAAGACCAACAGAAAACATAGTATTTTCTTTTGGTCATGGGGATACCATGTGGAAAGTCTGACCCAATTATGTTGTTGGTCAAGTTCAGAGTGCTCTTTGATTGTAGGTGAACAATAAATCCCAACAACTCCAATTCCCAAACGTCAAGGTTTATTTTCCCCAGATTCTACCAGTGTTCACATTCGGGCATATTGAGTATTCGTGCCAAGTTTGGTCCAGATCCATCATTGTGTGAATCCACAACACTCCTCTGGATATAGGTGAACTACAACTCCCAAACTCAAGGTCAATACCCACCAAACCCTTCCAGTGTTTTCTGTTGGTCATGGGAGTTCTGTGTGCCAAGTTTGGTTCAAATCCATCGCTGGTGGAGTTCAGAATGCTCTTTGATTATAGGTGAACTATAAATCCCAGCAACTACAACTCCCAAATTACAAAATCCATCCTTTTATGCCAAATTTGGCCCAGTGAATGAAAATACATCCTGCATATCAGATATTTACATTAAGTTCAATGTTTACCAAACCCTACTGGTGTTTTCCATTGGTCATGGGAGTTTTGTGTGGCAGATTAGGTTCAAATCCATTGCTGGTGGAGTTCAGAATGCTCTTTGATTATAGGTGAACTATAAATTCCAGCAACTACAACTCCCAAATTACAAAATCAATCTTCCTCAAACCTCACCAGTATTTAAACTGGGATGTATCAGGTATTTGTGCTCAATTTGGTCAAGTGAAGGAAAATGCATCCTGCATATCGGATATTTACTTTACGATGTAAAGATCTAAGGAAGTAATGCTCCCCGTGCTTTGACTGTGAGAGCCGTTCAGCAGTGGAACTCTCTGCCCCAGAGTGTGGTGGAGGCTCCTTCTTTGGAAGCTTTTAAGCAGAGGCTGGATGGCCATCTGTCAGGGGTGATTTGAATGCAATATTCCTGCTTCTTGGCAGAATGGGGTTGGACTGGATGGCCCATGAGGTCTCTTCCAACTCTTTGATTCTGATTCTATGATCCCCACTCCTGCCTTTGCATAACTCTTTCAAACTGTGTCTGCTTTGTAACCTGTTGCTGCTTCTCTCCAGGGTGTGTGACTCCTTGCAACCTATAATTCCTTGACTGTCTGTCTGTGCTCCGTCGCTGACACGTGCCAAAAGGTGACGAAACACTGGGCTTCCCATCCCTTTGTTTTCCCAGGGCTTTAATCCTGGACCGGCATTTTTGGTGGAACTTAAAAATGAAGGTTGCAAAGGTGGTTGAATGAACCTCTGTTCCCCTGCCTGCCTTTCCAGCAACACCCTGCGGTGGAGAAACAAGGCTCACCGGGCACCCAAGGTGATTGCCAAGACGGAGTCCCCACGGGGAGACAGGGCGGGATATAAATCAAGTTTATGATGACAATGGTTATTCAGGAATGAGTTCAAAAGTTCCCTCCTTCACACACATTCACACTCATGACTGACATGCCCACTCCTACACCAATTTCATTTGGCAACAGCTGCGTCTGTACTGTCAAATGAACCCAGTTTTGCACTACTTTAACTTTAAGCATAGTTTTACAGAGATCTTGCTTTAGAATACTCATAGAACCATAGAATCATAGAATCAAAGAGTTGGAAGAGACCTCCTGGGCCAACCAGTCCAACCCCATTCTGCCAAGAAGCAGGGATATTGCATTCAAATCACCCCTGACAGATGGCCATCCAGCCTCTGTTTAAAAGCTTCCAAAGAAGGAGCCTCCACCACACTCCGGGGCAGAGAGTTCCACTGCTGAACGGCTCTCACAGTCAGGAAGTTCTTCCTAATGTTCAGATGGAATCTCCTCTCTTGTAGTTTGAAGCCATTGTTCCATTGCGCCCTAGTCTCCAAGGAAGCAGAAGGGAAGCTTGCTCCCTCCTCCTCCCTGTGGCTTCCTCTCACATATTTGTACATGGCTATCATATCTCCTCTCAGCCTTCTCTTCTTCAGGCTAAACATGCCAGCTCCTTAAGCCACTCCTCATAGACTTGTTCTCCAGACCCTTGATCATTTTAGTCGCCCTCCTCTGGACACATTCCAGCTTGCCAATATCTCTCTTGAATTGTGGTGCCCAGAATTGGACACAATATTCCAGGTGTGGCCTAACCAAGGCAGAATAGAGCATGGGGAGCATGACTTCCCTAGATCTAGACACTATGCTCCTTTTGATGCAGGCCAAAATCCCATTGGCTTTTTTGCCGCCACATCACATTGTTGGCTCATGTTTAACTTGTTGTCCACGAGGACTCCAAGATCTTTTTCACACGTACTGCTCTCGAGCCAGGCATCCCCCATTCTGTATCTTTGCATTTCTTTCTGCCTAAGTGGAGTATCTTGCAGTTGTCCCTGTTGAACTTCATTTTGTTAGTTTTGGCCAATCATCTCTCTAATCTGTCAAGATCGTTTTGAATTCTGCTCCTGCCCTCTGGAGTATTGGCTCTCCCTCCCAATTTGGTGTCGTCTGCAAACTTGATGATCCCAATACTCCAGGGGACAGGAGCAGGATTCAAAACGATCTTGACAGACTCCCAGTATTCTATAGCATCAAGCTATGGAAGTTCAAGTGGGGTCAAACTGCATTCCTTCTACAGGACAGACCTTACACTATGGTGCATTGATTCTATGTGCATTCCAGATACCCCTTTTTGAAAAATGCTGTGCTGAAACAATGGACTCACAGTATCACCACATGGGTTCATCTCAGCTGTAGAATTAATGCAAATTGACAGCAGTTGAACTGCCATGGCTCAATGCAGTGACATCCTGAGAGATGTAGTTTTACAAGGTCTCTAGGCTTCTCTGCCAAGTTGGAAGAGACCTGGTGGGCCATCCAGTCCAACCTCATTCTGCCAAGAAGCAGGACAATCGCATTGAAAGCACCCCAACAGATGGCCACCCAGCTTCTGTTTAAAAGCTTCCATAGAAGGAACCTCCACCACATAATACTAGCATTGAGCCATGGTGGAGTGGTGTTAGAATGATAGAATCATAGAATTCTAGAGTTGGAAGAGACCTCATGGGCCATCCAGCCCAAACCCTGTTCTGCCAAGAAGTTGGGGATGCATTACGTTCAATGCACCCTCAACAGATGGCCATCCTGCCTCTGTTGAGCTGGGCATGTTTAGCCTGAAGAAGAGAAGGCTGAGAGGAGACATGACAACCATGTATAAATATGTGAGAGGAAGCCACAGGGAGGAGGAGGGAGCAAGCTTCCTTTCTGCTTCCCTGGAGACTAGGACGCAATGGAACAATGGCTTCAAACTACAAGAGAGGAGATTCCATCTGAACATGAGGAAGAACTTCCTGACTGTGAGAGCCGTTCAGCAGTGGAACTCTCTGCCCCAGAGTGTGGTGGAGGCTCCTTCTTTGGAAGCTTTTAAACAGATGCTGGATGGCCATCTGTCAGGGGTGATTTGAATGCAATATTCCTGCTTCTTGGCAGAATGGGGGTGGACTGGATGGCCCATGAGGTCTCTTCCAACTCTAGGATTCTAGGATTCTAAGAACTTCCTGACTGTGAAAGCTGTTCAGCAGTGGAACTCTCTGCCCTGGAGTGTGGTGGAGGCTCCTTCTTTGGAAGCTTTTAAACAGAGGCTGGATGGCCATCTGCCAGGGGTGATATGAATGCAATATTCCTGCTTCTTGGCAGAATGGGGTTGGACTGGATGGCCCATGAGGTGTCTTCCAACTCTAGGATTCTATGACTGTGAGAACTGTTCAGCAGTGGAACTCTCTGCCCCGGAGTGTGGTAGAGGCTCCTTCTTTGGAAGCTTTTAAACAGAGGCTGGATGGCCAACTGGCAGGGGGTTGGACTGGATGGCCCATGAGGTCTCTTCCAACTCTAGGATTCTATGAGTCTATGAGATCAGTGGAGTTACTTTCTCTGGAAATGTTTCAACTGATGCTGGATGGCTGTGTGGCTGGTGTCTCCTTGGACTGGATGGCCCTTGGGGTCTCTTCCAAGTCTGGATGCCTTCTGGATGCCCGGTCCAACTGACCATCCCTTCTGACGCCAAGCAAGGAGAGGTTCCCGCAAACTGATCTCCAGTCCAACTAGTCTCCCCAGCCTGGGACTCACCCATCTCACCGCCCCCATATTTTGGGAACGTGCCTGTCTGGGCCGGGCCAGATTACCGGGGAATGTTTGGTGTGCGGCGGTGGCTGCTTGTGGTGTGGCAAGCCCCGGCGCATCCCCGCCTGCCTGGCTCTCTTTAAATGCAGCCCGGCTCAGAGGGTAGGGCTCAGAGGGACACGGGCACCATGGAGGCACACAAGCACCTGCTCGCCCTGGCACTCCTTCTGCTCACCTTTGGGGAACACCTGGCCTCCTCGGCCCCCAGTTCAGCAGAAGGTACGTGCCTTAGGGAAGGAGAGTGGGAGTTAGGGAAGAGAAGTGTATGGATTCTCCTTCCAAACTGGGGTGGACTGGGGTTGCACTGGAAATCAAATATGATGTCATATGGCAGGTTTATGACTTATATACACAATATAGAGGAGCAACTTCTCTTTGTCATGGAAAAATGTCCGTATTCATGTAGATAAACTACACGACTCATTAGACAAATTGGACTATTATGTTTATCTTCAGGCATGTTTAGCCTGAAGAAGAGAATGATGAGAGGAGACATGATAGCCATGTATAAATATGTGAGAGGAAGTCACAGGGAGGAGGAGGGAGCAAGCTTCCTTTCTGCTTCCCTGGAGACTAGGACGCAATGGAACAATGGCTTCAAACTACAAGAGAAGAGATTCCATCTGAACATGAGTAAGAACTTCCTAACTGGGAGAGCCGTTCAGCAGTGGAACTCTCTGCCCCAGAGGGAGTGTGGTGGAGGCTCCTTCTTTGGAAGCTTTTAAACAGAGGCTGGATGGCTGTCTGTCAGGTGATTTGAATGCAATATTCTTGCTTCTTGGCAGAATGGGGTTGGACTGGATGGCCCAAGAGGTCTCTTCCATCTCTTTGATTCTATGATTCTATGATTCTAATATGGACATTTATCTATGACAAAGAGAAGTTATTCCTCTATATTGTGTATATAAGTCATAAACCTCTCATATGACATCATATTTGGAATTTCAACAACAATAACATAATATTGTCGAAGGCTTTCATGGCCAGAATCACTGGGTTGTTGTAGGTTTTTCCGGGCTATATGGCCATGTTCTAGAGGCATTCTCTCCTGACGTTTCGCCTGCATCTATGGCAAGCATCCTCAGAGGTAGTGAGGTCTGTTGGAACTAGGATAAAGGGTTTATATATCTGTGGAGTGACCAGGGTGGGACAAAGGACTCTTGTCTGCTGGAGCTAGGTGTGAATGTTTCAACTGACCACCTTGATTAGCATATAATGGCCTGACAATAACATAATACTTTGTGTATCTTTTTATATATTGCACTGAAAATTCCCAAGGAGAACAGAATTAAGGGTACTGTTCTATTATCCAGGCGGAGGCCAAAAGAGGGCGCTAGACAGAGAAGAATAGTCCATTTTACGAGGGGAGTAAAACCATTTCATAGAATCATAGAATCCTAGATTTGGAAGAGACCTCATGGGTCATCAAGTCCAACCCCATTCTGCCAAGAAGCAGGAAAATCGCATTCAAAGCATCCCTGACAAATGGCCATCCGGCCTCTGCTTAAAAGCCTCAAAAGAAGGAGCCTCCACCACACTCTGGGGCAGAGAGTTCCACTGCTGAACGGCTCTCACAGTCAGGAAGTTCTTCCTAATGTCCAGGTGGAATCTCCTTTCTTTCCTGTAGTTTGATGCCATTGCTTCATTGCGTCCAAGTTTCCAGGGCAGCAGAAAACAAGCTTGCTCCTCCTCCCTAGGACTTCCCCTCATATATTTATACATGTCTCCTCCCAGCCTTCTCTTCTTCAGGCTAAACATGCCCTGCTCTTTAAGCCGCTCCTCATAGGGCTTGTTCTCCAGACCCTTGATCCTTTGAGTCGCCCTCCTCTGGACACATTCCAGTTTGTCAACATCTCCCTTCAATTGTGGTGTTCAGAATTGGACACAATATTCCAGGTGTGGTCTAACTAAGGCAGAAGAGAGCATGGGGAGCATGACTTCCCTGGATCTAGGCACTAGGCTCCTATTGATGCAGGCCAAAATCCCATTGGGTTTTTTTTTTTTTTTGCTGCTGCATCACATTGTTGGCTCATAGAATCATATAATCAAAGAATTGGAAGACACCTCATGGGCCATCCAGTCCAACCCCCTGCCAAGAAGCAGGAATATTGCATTCAAATCACTCCTGACAGATGGCCATCCGAAGGAGCTTCCACCACACTCCGGGGCAGAGAGTTCATGTTTAACTTGTTGTCCATTTCCCCCAGTCTTCCTGTTATTCCCACCAAACATGTCCCCATCACGGAAACAACCCTCATTCATTTATGATATGGGAAGTGGAAAGGGGGAACTAAGCAGTGGAAAAGTGTCTAGCTTGCTGTCGACCTTTCAGCCCAAAAAAACAGTTGCATCTGTCAAGTAGAAAATTTAGGTACCGCAGGGAGGCTATTTTAACTAATTTACAACACAAAATATTGAGGAAGTACTTTACTCCCCCTCCTCCTCCTGTAAAATGGACTATCCTTCTCTGTCTAGTGCCTCCTACTGGCCTCCGCCCAGATAACAGAACAGTGCCAAATTAAGGATGCAGATGAGCATCACCACATGCAAGGTTGAGGAAATTGCAGAACATTTCTTCCCCAAAAGGAAGAACACCACTTGAACTGAAAGGGTCTTTGAGTGAAATTTCCAAATGCTAAGCAATGAAATTAACAGCAAAAGAGAAATATACCCTTTCTCTGTAGAAAAGGAGCAACATGGAAGAAAATGTTTTTAAGAAACAAGATGTGACATGTAGAGGTCATACAAAGTTCAAGCCTATATAGGAAGTAGTTGTGTTGTGGTTAAGTTCAAAGGTTGTGGAAAGCGCAGAGTCTGCAGGTACAAGAAGATGAGAAAAGAGGCCAAAGGGTCCCTGGGCCTGGTTTTCCCCCACACCTGCCCTGTTTCCTTCCTTCCCGCTCTGTGTGCCATGGATCCCAGTGGCAAGAGGAGCAGCGTGGGCTCCCACAGTCTCCCTTCCTTTTGCAGCCAAGAAGGGCTACTGCTTCCAGGTGCCTCCGCTGGGCGATGTCTTTGACGAGAAGGACTGCAGCACCTGCGAGAAGAACGGGTCCTGCTCCACTTGCGCCAGCGATGCCCAGTGCCCAGCCACCCAGAAGTGCTGCCCCGGAGACTGCGGCTATGTCTGCCAGGAGGCCATTTTTGGTGAGTGCATTGCCCAGGGACACCCTGTGCCCTGCCATGACCTTCCAGGCCAGCTTTTGGGACCCCCCAAGGCCATTTGTCCATCCATCTCTTTCTCTCTCTCCTTTAAAGATTACACTATGTAACACGATTATTGCTCCTGGGTCGTAAATGTCATTTCCTAATTGGTTCTATCATAAAGAAACGAGGGGCATCCTTCTGTAGCACATTTTGCTATAGTTTTTCAATGAATATCTCATCAACCAATTCAACCTAGTTTGTGGCAGCCACGAAAATGAAGTTTCTGAACAACTACTTTCAAAGTAAGGACCACACAAGGAAACAGGAAATAACACTTTCAAACCAGGAAAAGAAACATTTTCAAATTTTGTTACGTAGTGCATGCCTGTCTGTCTGTTGGCCTATCTATCTGTCCATCCATCCACGTACCTAGCTGTCAATCTGTCCGTTGACTTATGTGTCTCTCTGTCATCTGTCTGTCTGTCTGTCTGTCTGTCTGTTTGTCTTTCCACATACCTAGCAATCACACACCTACCTACCTACCTACCTATCTACATACCTAGTAATCATCTATCTATCTATCTATCTATCTATCTATCTATCTATCTATCTATCTATCCATCCACATATGTAGCTGTCAATCTGTCCGTTGACTTATGTGTCTCTCTGGCATCTATCTGTCTGTCTGTTTGTCTTTCCACATACCTAGCAATCACACATCTATCTGTCTGTCTGTCTGTCTGTCTGTCTGTCTGTCTATCTATCTGTCTATCTATTCATCCATCCATCCATCCATCCATCCCCATACCTAGCTGTCAATCTGTCCGTTGACTTATGTGTCTCTCTGGCATCTATCTGTCTGTCTGTTTATTTTTCCACATACCTAGCAATCACACATCTATCTGTCTGTCTGTCTGTCTGTCTATCTATTCATCCATCCATCCATCCATCCATCCATCTATCCATCCATCCATCCATCCATCCATCCCCATACCTAGCTGTCAATCTGTCCGTTGACTTATGTGTCTCTCTGGCATCTATCTGTCTGTCTGTTTGTCTTTCCACATACCTAGCAATCACACATCTATCTGTCTGTCTGTCTGTCTGTCTGTCTATCTATCTGTCTATCTATTCATCCATCCATCCATCCATCCATCCATCCACCCATCCCCATACCTAGCTGTCAATCTGTCCGTTGACTTATGTGTCTCTCTGGCATCTGTCTGTCTGTCTGTTTATCTTTCCACATACCTAGCAATCACACATCTATCTGTTTGTCTGTCTGTCCATCTGTCAGTCTGTCCATCTATCCATCCATCCATCCATCCATCCATCCATCCACATACCGAGCTGTCAATCTGTCCGTTGACTTGTGTGTCTCTCTGGCATCTACCTGTCTGTCTGTTTGTCTTTCCACATACCTAGCAATCACACACCTATCTCCCAACCTATCTATCCAGATACTTAGCAATCATCTATCTATCTATCTATCTATCTATCTATCTATCTATCTATCTATCTATCTATCCATCCACATACCTAGCTGTCAATCTGTCCGTTGACTTATGTGTCTCTCTGGCATCTATCTGTCTGTCTGTCTTTCCACATACCTAGCAATCACACATCTATCTATCTATCTATCTATCTATCTATCTATCTATCTATCTATCCATCCATCCATCCATCCATCCATCCACATACCTAGCTGTCATCTGTCTGTCTGTCTGTCCGTCCGTCCATCAATCTGTCCATTGACATATGTCTCTCTGGCATCCAACCATCTGTCTGTTTATCTATCTATCTATCTATCTATCTATCTATCTATCTATCTATCTATCTATCTATCTATCTATCTATGCATCAATCAGTACATTGACTTGTGTGTCTCTCTTGTATCTATCTATCTATCTATCTATCTATCTATCTATCTATCTATCTATCTATCTATCGTCTGTCTCCTTTGTAGTCCTGCCAAGAATATCCAAGGGAGGAACTTTTACAGCAAAGAGGCAAAGAATAATATTACTCTCACAGTGCCACACATTCATTGCAGATCAGAAACCTATTATTGAATTGCAGCCTTGCACAAACCAATGTATAGTATGCCCCAATGCAAAACCGGTTGCAAGGAGCATGCATATGTACAATGCTCATGCATGCGCAAAAGCACGCATGCCTCTAAACCCAGAATTGGATGCAGATGTCCAGCATCAGACAAATTATCCAGGGTTGTGTCCAGTTCTGCGGGTTTCCATTTGTGGAGAGGTGGCTGTTTGGGACTGTGTGTCATGGCCATAAGATGTGGGAGTTGCAATGACAATGCTGGAAAGTATTCCATGTTACGTAAGCCCAACCATGCCTTTGGAAGGTGGGTCGCAGGTGTCACATAAATGCCTCTGGACCGTCCATCACCAGCCGCAAATAAAGGGTTGGCTCTCTTTGCTCTCCATGAGTGGGCGAGTGACAGCATCTCAGGCTGTATCCAGTGCACACAATGATAGTCATTAAAGTGGAATATGGGTAGTTGTGAGTATTCTGGGCTGTATGGCTATGTTCCAGAAGCATTCTCTCCTGATGTTTCGCCCACATCTATGGCAGTGGAATATGCTGCTGCCTGGCTCGAGAGCAGTACGTGTGAAAAAGATCTTGGAGTCCTTGTGGACAACAAGTTAAACATGAGCCAACAATGTGATGTGGCGGCAAAAAAAGCCAATGGGATTTTGGCCTGCATCAATAGGAGCATAGTGTCTAGATCTAGGGAAGTCATGCTCCCATGCTCTATTCCGCCTTGGTTAGACCACTTTACCTGGAATATTGTGTCCAGTTCTGGGCACCACAATTCAAGAGAGATATTGAAAGCTGGAATGTGTCCAGAGGAGAGCAACTAAAATGATCAAGGGTCTGGAGAACAAGCCCTGTGAGGAGCGGCTTAAGGAGCTGGGCATGTTTAGCCTGAAGAAGAGAAGGCTGAGAGGAGATATGATAGCCATGTATAAATATGTGAGAGGAAGCCACAGGGAGGAGGGAGCAGATCAGGGGTCTGGAGAACAAGCCCTATGAGGAGCGGCTTAAGGAGCTGGGCATGTTTAGCCTGCAGAATGGAAGGTTAAGAGGAGACATGATGAGGGCCGTGTATAAATAGGTGAGAGGAAGCCACAGGGAGGAGGAGGGAGCAAGCTTGTTTTCTGCTGCCCTGGAGACTAGGACGCAAGGGAAGAATGGCTTCAAACTACAAGAGGAGATTCCATCTGAACATGAGGAAGAACTTCCTGACTGTGAGAGCCGTTCAGCAGTGGAACTCTCTGCCCCGGAGTGTGGTGGAGGCTCCTTCTTTGGAAGCTTTTAAACAGAGGCTGGATGGCCATCTGTCAGGGGTGATTTGAATGCAACATTCCTGCTTCTTGGCAGAGGGTTGGACTGGATGGCCCAAGAGGTCTCTTCCAACTCTTTGATACATACGATACATTTAGTAGTGACTGTGAGAGCCATTCAGCAGCGGAACTCTCTGCCCCGGAGTGTGGTGGAGGCTCCTTCTTTGGAAGCTTTAAACAGAGGCTGGATGGCCATCTGTCAGGGGTGATTTGAATGCAATATTCCTGCTTCTTGGCAGGGGGTTGGACTGGATGGCCCATGAGGTCTCTTCCAACTCTTTGATTCTATGATTCTATGATTCTTTCCCATGGTTCCATTGCATTGAGCCAGGGCAGTTTAAAGTGGGGTCAATCTGCATTCGTTCCACATTGTATACGCACATTGGGCTGTTCCATGGAAATCTTAGCCTTGCAATTATTCTGGCATCCAGGAATTGAGAGAAGAGGGAGAAGGAGGCATTTGCATATATCTCTGCACCTTCCCCTATGGCTCATCCCATGTTTTTTCTGGGTTTCGTGCTGGGTGTGAACCACATCAGTGGCTGCGTCATGCGGGTGCTGCTGACATTGGAAGCATACCATTGTGGAGATGATGCAAGCCTTCCAGGAAAGTCCCCACTGCCCTTGGGGAGGCCGTGTCCCAACTCTTGCAAGTCCTTCCCAGCTTGTTTGGTTGCCAGTTCTGAGGGCCTGGCACGGGGAAGAATCTGTGATGTATCGGCAAATAACGTGTGCAGATCTGAGTAGTGTGGCCTTTTGCAGCTGACAGAAGTTAGTGAAGGTACTGCGAGTCCCATCATCTGTGGTCCATCCTCCTCCAAACTGCACCAGGATGGAGAGTGGGTCATGGGGGCTTTGTGTGCCAAGTTTGGTCTTGATCATTGATCATTGGATGAGGGTCATAGTGATGTATCGGCAAATAACGCGTGCAGATCCAAGTAGCGTGGTCTGTTGCAGCTGACAGATGGTAATTTTGTCAGTGCTGATTGTGTTTAAGTGCAGGCCAAGGTCTTTAGGCACTGCACCCAGTGTGCTGATCACCACTGGGACCACCTTTACCGGCTTGTGGAAGTGTCCAACGTGCGATCCAATACAATCCTCATATCATGTCAGCTTTTTTTGCTGTGTACTAAATCTTGTTGGTCTATGTATGGGGAACGACGAGAGGGCAGATTCTATGATTCTATATGCTTTGCAATGGTTTAATGATATATTCCGATCGGAATATGAGGAACCACAAACTCAAGCTGGAATGTGTCCAGAGGAGGGCGACTAAAATGATCAAGGGTCTGGAGAACAAGCCCTATGAGGAGCGGCTTAAGGACCTGGGCATGTTTAGCCTGAAGAAGAGAAGGCTGAGAGGAGATATGATAGCCATGTATAAATATGTGAGAGGAAGTCACAGGGAGGAGGGAGCAAGCTTGTTTTCTGCTTCCCTGGAGACTAGGACGCATGGAACAATGGCTTCAAACTACAAGAGAGGAGATTCCATCTGAACATGAGGAAGAACTTCCTGACTGTGAGAGCCATTCAGCAGTGGAACTCTCTGCCCCGGAGTTTGGTGGAGGCTCCTTCTTTGGAAGCTTTTAAAGAGGCTGGATGGCCATCTGTCAGGGGTGATTTGAATGCAATATTCCTGCTTCTTGGCAGGGGGTTGGACTGGATGGCCCAGAGGTCTCTTCCAACTCTGATTCTATGAACTTCCTGACTGTGAGAGCCGTGCAGCAGTGGAACTCTCTGTCCCGGAGTGTGGTGGAGGCTCCTTCTTTGGAAGCTTTTAAACAGAGGCTGGATGGCCATCTGTCAGGGGTGATTTGAATGCAATATTCCTGCTTCTTGGCAGGGGGTTGGACTGGATTGCCCATGAGGTCTCTTCCAACTCTTTGATTCTATGATTCTATGAACTGCCCTTGCAGGAAGGAGATATTGTGTTCTGAAGGCTTTCATGGCTGGAATCACTGGGTTGTTGTAGGTTTTTTCGGGCTATATGGCCATGTTCTAGAGGCATTCTCTCCTGACGTTTCGCCTGCATCTATGGCAAGCATCCTCAGAGGTAGTGAGGTCTGTTTGGAAGTAGGAAAAAGGGTTTATATATCTGTGGAATGACCAGGGTGGGACAAAGGACTCTTGTCTGCTGGAGCTAGGTGTGAATGTTTCAACTGACCACCTTGATTAGCATTTGATGGCCTGGCAGTGCCTGGAGCAATCTTTTGTTGAGAGGTGATTAGATGTCCTTGTTTGTTTCCTCTCTCTTGTTGTGCTGTTGTAATTTTAGAGGTTTTTTTTTTAATACTGGTAGCCAGATTGTGTTCATTTTCATGGTTTCCTCCTTTCTGTTGAAATTGTCCACCTGCTTCTTGTGGATTTCAGTGGCTTCTCTGTGTAGTCTGACATGGTGGTTGTGAGAGTGGTCCAGCATTTCTGTGTCCTCCAATAAAATGCTGTGTCCAGGTTCAGTGCCTTGTTACAGTGGCATGCAATGAGACACAAATACACAGAGAAAGGCAAAGGCTTCTCCTTTCATTTCCGGCTCTGGAGGTGAGGATCATCTCCGGCTCTGGGGGAGGTGCTTTTCTCTATTTCCAAGCCGAGAAGCCTGCATTGTCTGTAGACATCTCCTGGTTGTGTGGCCAGCAAGACTGCCTGAGTGTCTTTTTGCCTTTTCCCACAGAAGCAGTACCTATTTATCCACTCACATTTGCATGTTTTCAAACTGCTAGGTTGGCAGGAGCTAGGGTGAACAGTGGGAGCTCACCCTGTCCCCTGGAACTGAACTGCCAACCTTCAGGTCGGTAGTTCAGCAGCACAAGGGTTTAACCCATTGCACCACCGCGCCCCCCCAATGGCAGCTCAAACATTATCAAACTGCATTCACCTTATAGTTTAGATGCACCCCAAATCATTGACTCCCCTTCTGGGTATATCTGCACTGTAGAATCAATGCTGTTTGAGACTGCTTGGAGTGTCTTTTTGCCTTTTCCCACAGAAGCAGTACCTATTTATCTACTCACATTTGCATGTTTTCAAACTGCTAGGTTGGCAGGAGCTAGGGCTAACAGCGGGAGCTCACCCTGTCCCACCACGGCTCCCCAATGGCAGTTCAAACGTTGTCAAACTGCACCCACCCCATAATTTAGATGCACCCCAAATCATTGACTCCCCTTCTGGGTATATCTACACTGTAGAATGAA